ACAGGTCGAGAGCCTTCCAAGTAGGCTATCAGCTCAGCGGAAGATGTTGGTGCGCTCCATTTGCTTCGGAGCTGCGTATTTGCTTAGTATGATTTAGACGTCTATTGTCTGGTATGGCGGGACTCTGTTCTGACCTTTGTGACACTTATATACTCTTAGAGGCTTGTAGACATATGTCGTGTACGTGGAAGATTGTATGGTCCTGTCGGCTTATGTTTGAGTTTATAAATGATTATGTTAGCCTATTAGGCCCATATGTCACATGTATATAATGATGTAATAATAAAAGTACATTACGTTGGTACTCAATCAAGTAAGGTACTGGGTGCCCGTCACGGCCCATCGGTTTGGGTCGTGACACTCCGCCCATTGATCCTCCCCCATAGAGTATAATTTCTAAGAACCCATATGCTTATAAAGATTTTTTATATTATCGGTATATTTTAATTTATTTTAACAAGTAACAAATCTCATTTTCAGGTAACTAATTTTACATAAAAATGTCATTTGTGCTCTATGAGAAGAGAACACGCACACAAATACCATGTGCAAGACCATACGTTAATAAGGCAGGTAAATTCACGTGTGTCCATATGGAAAAGTCACTGTTTTCTGCGTTTCAAGTTGACCCTCTACTATTTAACAAGTGCTCTAATATATAAAAACAATGGCCTCTCTCGTATAGAAACAAGAAAAGAAAACTAAGTGCCTCTCCTTTTATTTTTCTATTTATACATATGGAATTGCAAGCAACACAAAGGTCAAACGAGCTTGGTTTCTCTCAACTTGACTACGAATATTTACAGAAAGAAAGCAAAATTTTTCCAGAGTTTATCTTTGCTTTAAAGTAGAGGGCTTCATTTTACAGCAGTAACTACCAGAGGATCCCTCCAACTCCAAGTACGCATCAATTTTACTGCAGAATAGATAGAAATGGGTTTTGGGGGGGGCGGAGGGAACTGCAATAGAATATCTCTGGATAATTTAAACTAATACGTCAAGGATCGATCTCAAAAGAGTCTGGAGAACAGAATCCACAATATAACAAAAGAGTGTTCAGCTTCTTATTATTAAGCAGCACAATACAAGAAGTCCAATTGTTTCCCTCTTATCTGATTTGCTAGTGGTATTATTAATCAACGATTAACTATTTTCCTAGCTTAATTTCTAGTGGTATACAGATTTTGAAGGGAAAAAAAAAACACGTCAGATGTGTACAGACCGGGTAATACAGCATCCAATGGTTCTCCATAAAATAAAAGAAAAAGGAAAAGAAATTTAGCGCATAATTCAAATATAACCAGTACATGATCTTCAAAAAGCATATATTGCAGAAACATACTAAAGGCAAAATGCATATGTTGAGACTGGTAGTTAGTTGTAGTGGTGTAGTTGTGTGTCCAGTTGTTAATGAGCTATCATTAGTGTAGAATTAAGTTAAGAAGTTAGTTAGTTAGTTAGTTAGTTAGCTTCATGTATAAATAGGGAGTATTATCTTTCATTTCTAGATGCTACTGTAACTCAGCTTTGATTCAATGTGAATACAGTCTTCTCCTTCTCTCAGTCGCTCATTTCCTCTCAATGCATCTCCATGGCTGATCTCCATTAACATGGTATCAGAGCTCAGGTGAAGCTCCTCTGTCCAGCAATTAGGAGAAGGTTGATGTGAAGAGAAGCTAGTTAAAATTCTCACGAATTGAACTCAATTTCACACTCTGTGTTTGAATCTGTGATCTACAGAGAATTCCTCTGTAATCCAATCTCAACAGTTATCATTTTTGTTGTTATTGATCCCTACAATGGCTGTTGACGGAACTTCCTCTAGTCCAGCTGCTCCAACACCAGATCAGAATGTATATTTAGTTCATCATCATCATCCACTCTACATTCACCCGTCTGATACACAAGGTACAATTTTCATCTCAATTCAACTTCAAGGTCCTGAGAATTATTCACTGTGGAGTAGATCTATGAAGATTGTTCTGCATGGTAAAAACAAGTTAGGTTTTGTGCTAGGAACATGTAGAAAACATATGTTTGATTCTAGCTTACACGAGCTATGGGATAGGTGTAACGCCATTGTATTGGCCTGGATAATAAATACTGTGGCTCCAAATCTGCTTAGTTCTGTAATATACACCTCTGATGCTCACAAGGTTTGGGAAGATCTTCGTGAGAGATTTGATAAAGTCAATGCATCTAGATCCTTCTACTTACACAACGAAATTGGGAAACTAACACAATGTTCATTGTTAGTGTTTGAAAATTTTTCAAAACTGAGAGAGTTGTGGGATGAATATGAGGCTTTAGTTCCTCCTCCTTCATGTGGTTGTCCAGAATCTAGGAAAAATGTAGAACATTATCAACTTGGAAAGTTGTATCAGTTCTTACTAGCCTAAATGATACCTTTGATAATGTCAAGGATCAGATCCTCATGACTAGACCAGTACCTAATATAAACCAAGCATATGCAATGATCATTAATGTGGAAAGTCAGAGAAGGAACAATGTTATTGTTGGTGTTAGTGATCCTACAGCTCTGGTGAGTAATAGAGCTCCTACTAGTGGTCACAATCGTGTCTATAAGCACAGAAATAACCTTGGAAAGTCATCTCTTCAATGTGACTTCTGCCATCTTAAAGGTCACACTAGAGACAATTGTTACAAACTTCATGGCTACCCCACTGATTTTAGAGGCAGGAAAGGAGGAGGAGGTACTCTTGATTCCAAAAGTGCATATGCACACACTGCTAGCATAGCATCTGATTCACCTCAACAAGGAAATGCTGCTAATGTGGTCTCAACATATAGGTTCAGCAACTGATAGCTCTCCAGCAACAACAGGTGTCTCTTCAGCACGTTTCTTTACTCAGGATCAATACAATCAAATCCTGCAAATGCTGAAGAAAGGAAAGTAGATTGACATTATGGCTAATTCTGCAACAATGAATACTACAGGTACTATAACATATCTCATGTCTCACCTAGTGAGTAATAACTGGATTATAGATACAGGTGTTACTAATTATATGGCTCACAACCTCAATCTACTGAGCAATATTAGAAAGCTATCAGATATTGATCAGAACTCAGTTCAACTTCTTAATGGTGAAAAGGTTATTATCAGCCACACTGGTGATCTATCATTGTTTAAGGATAAATCAGTACATCATGTACTTTATATTCTAGATTTCAAGTTCAATCTGATGTCAGTGTCAAAAATCACAAAAGAGCTAAGATGTCTAGTGGCCTTCTTTCCTGACTTCTGCATATTTCAGGAGCTCTTCACTGGGAAGGTGATGGGGATTGGTAAAGAGGAGCATGGCATCTACATTCTAGAGCACAAAGAACAAGATGTTCCCAAGCAACTGCCAGATTCTAGGCCATTTCATTCAAGTTCTTCTGTAAATACTACTAGTAGTGAATTTCAAACAAATAATGCTAGTGCTGAAAATAAGAATACATCTGAATGTCCAAATGAGACTGTTTTGTGGCATAAGAGATTGGGTCATGCACCACTAAGGGTTCTAAAAAGGATACAAAGTTTACCAAATGTTCAATTGAAGGACCATTTCTGTACAGTTTGTCATGTTGCTAAGCAAACTAGAGTTCCTTTTCCTTCCAGTAATGCATGTTCTATTAATGCATTTGATCTCATACATGTTGATGTTTGGGAGCCATACAGAGTATCCACTCACAATGGTAGGAAGTATTTTATGACCTTAGTGGATGATTACTCAAGGTTTATCTGGCTTTTCTTGATGAATGACAATGAAGAATCTATTGTGATTCTGAAAAACTTTCTGCTATTAGTCAAAAATCAGTTTCACTGCAGTACCAAGTGCTTAAGGTCAGACAATGGCACAAAATTCTTTAACAATCAGGTAACAGGACTTCTACAAGAACATGGCATAGTTCATCAAAGATCTTGTGTATACACTCCTCAACAGAATGGCAGAGTTGATAGAAGACATAGATCTATTCTTGATATAGCTAGAGCCTTAAGGTTTCAGGCTTGTGTTCCTTTACAATTTTGGGTAGAGTGTGTTACTACTATTGTGTACATTCTAAATAGGTTGCCCACTATTGTATTGAAGGGTGTATCACCTTTTGAAAGACTATTTCATAGGTCCCCTTCCTTACAACATCTCAGAGTCTTTGGGAGTCTGTGTTATGCAACTAACTTGAAGAAAACAGATAAGTTCTGCCCTAGAGCTATTCTTGTTGTTCATCTAGGCTATTCCTCTAGTCAAAAAGGTTATGTTCTATATGATCTGAGCTCCAAACTCTTCTTTGTTAGTAGGTACACTGTGTTCAGAGAAGGTATCTTTCTATTCAAACATCTACATACAACTCCATCTCCCTTGTTTCCAATTCTAGATTTCAGAGATATTGAATGTCCTAATCTGTCCTCTTCTGATGTCTTCACTCAATCTTCCTCTTCATCTCCATCTCAGCCTCCCTTGAATGCTTCTCCTAGTTCTCACTTTCCTTCTCCACTCTCTTCTGATCATTCTCCCTCTTCATTTTCTACTTCTCATTCTTCCTCTCTTTCTCTTCCTTCATCTACTTATGCTGACTTAAGAAGATCTTCTAGAGTGTCTAAACCTCCTATATGGATGGAAGATTACATTGTAATGTCTAAGATCTCTTCCTGTGCTCACCCAATCTCATAGTGTGTGTCCTATGAGTCACTCTCCTCCACCTGCAGGGCATCACTTGCAGCTTATTCAGCTGTCACTGAACCAAGGACTTATGATGAGGCCAAGATAGATCCCATGTAGGTTGAGGCCATGAAGGCTGAGATTTCAGGCTTAGAAACTAATCAGACTTGGACTATTGTTGATCTTCCTCTTGGTAAAACTCTTATAAGATGCAAATGGGTCTTTAAAGTGAAATATAAGTCTACTGGTGAAGTAGAAAGGTATAAGGCTAGACTAGTTGCCAAAGGGTATAGCCAACTTGAAGGCCTGGATTACAAGGAGACATTCTCTCCTGCTGCTAAGATAGTGACTGTTAGGTCTGTGGTTGCTTTGGCTGCAACATCTGGGTGGTATATCTTTCAGATAGATGCCCACAATGTTTTCCTTCAAGGTGATCTTCTTGAAGAGGTGTACATGCACATTCCAGATAGCTTTTCCATCCAAGGGGAGTTACAACAACAACAACAGAAGGTTTGCAGACTTCATAAGTCACTGTATGGGCTCAAACAAGCTCCCAGACAGTGGAACTTGAAGCTGATCAGTGCACTGACTGACATGGGCTTTGTTCAGTCACACTATGACTATTCTCTGTTCACACACAAGGTAGGTTGTGATCTTGTGGTAGTGCTGGTATATATGGATGATCTGCTAGTGACAGGAACTAGCTTAGCACTTATTCAACAAGTAAGGAAAGATCTGCAAGCTAGATTTAAAATGAAAGATCTGGGAGAGCTGAAGTTTTTTCTTGGTATTGAGTTCTTAAGATCCAAGGAAGGAATCTTGATGAATCAAAGAAAGTATGCACTTGAGCTAGTGTCTGAGATGGGATTAGCAGGCAGTAGAACAGCTGTCACCCCTCTAGAGTTCAATCACAAGCTGTCCTCTGTAGAACTAGACAAGTTTCTGCACACTGATGAAACTTTAGTTGACAAAGAATTAGAAGATAGAAGCAACTACCAAAGGCTGATTGGTAGACTGTTATACCTAACCATGACTAGGCCTGATATTGCCTTTGTAGTTCAGGTACTTAGCCAATATATGCATGCTCATAAGGATTCTCACATGGATGCAGCTATGAGAGTAGTTAGATACATTAAGGGCATTGCAGGGCTTGGGTTGTTTATGCTAGCAGATGGAAGCACAGAACTGTCAGCATTCTGTGATTCAGATTGGGGAGCATGTGTAGAAACCAGGAAGTCAGTAACTGGCTATATGGTGAAGTTTGGGCAAGCCTTGGTGTCTTGGAAATCAAAGAAACAAAGTACTGTTTCCAGAAGTTCTGCTGAAGCAGAATTCAGGAGCATGGCATCAACTGTAGCTGAGATCACTTGGTTAATTGGACTGTTTAAAGAGCTTGATTGAAGGTGAATCTACTTGTGCAACTATTTTGCGACAGCAAAGCTGCAATTCAAATTGCAGCTTATCCCATTTTTCATGAGAGGACCAAGCACTTACATTGACTGTCATTTTGTGAGAGAAAAAATTCAAGATGGGCAAATACAAACACATCATATTGGAACTAAGGAGCAGCTAGCTGACTTGCTTACAAAAAGCTTATGCAAGCCACAACATGATCATTTGGTAGGCAAGCTGGAAATGAAGAACATATTTCATCCCTCAGCTTGAGAGGGAGTGTTGAGAGTGGTAGTTAGTTGTAGTGGTGTAGTTGCGTGTCCAGCTGTTAATGAGCTGTCATTAGTGTAGAATTAAGTTAAGAAGTTAGTTAGTTAGTTAGCTACATGTATAAATAGGGAGTATTATCTTTCATTTCTAGATGCTACTGTAACTCAGCTTTGATTCAATGTGAATACAGTCTTCTCCTTCTCTCACTCGCTCATTTCCTCTCAATGCATCTCCATGGCTGACCTCCATTAACAGCATAAACCTTGGTTGACCAACAGATATGCGTTGCTAAGAAGTAAAAGACACGATACAGAGAAAAACTCATCGACAACAACGGATGTTGTTTCTTTTTTCCTGGTAACTTAGTTACTATGGGACTACAAGTTAGAAGTGCCTATGTTAATTATGCTACCCACACGGTTTTTATTCCTTTTTTCAACTATCCAAATTCAGAAGGAATGCGTGCTTTTCATTTTTATGTTCAAAGGGTACTCATATAAATTAATAGAGACAGTTCATACCAAGCTTGATAAGAAAGAAAAGGTGAATTACAACCGCAGAATTGAGAAGTAGCATTTCACAAAATGAAAATCTACTGTGCCATTATAATGAACCCAAATATTGAACCAGTCAATTTGAAATCTCCTTCCACATTCACAAAAAGAAATTTAAAAAATTCACATGATGCAGGAAAATTCATTTTTAAATTAAGCGCAGAACCTACAAGTGCTTCAAGTCTCTACCTTCAACTTCAAGAATGGCGAGAGAAAATGTCCAGCTCCACTACCCCAAAAAGAAGGAACATCATTCCCTAGCTGTACAGGTCAAATAGCTACCGCTGCTGCCCGTTATTCTTGTTTTACAAATTCGATTTTAGGACCTCCACAATTTGTCCTTCCGTCGTGATGGTGTTTGCAATTTGTAGGGACAAAATATTATCTTCAGTCCAGATGCATCAGTAAAGAGGTGTGAGCGGTTGGTTGTGGAGGGCACGAGAAGAGGTAGAGGGCGACATAAAAAATACTAGGGAGAGGTGATTAGGCAGGATATGGCGAGGCTTCAAATTTCCGAGGACATGACACTTGATAGGAAGTTCTGGAGGTCGAGTATTAGGGTTGTAGGTTAGGAAGTAGTTAAATCTTGCCTTCGTACCATTGTGAGACTAGTCTAGTAGGATCTGTCTAAAATAGCTAGTGACAATGTTGTTTTTTACTATCACGCATTTCAGTACATGACCTATTTAATAGCTATCTCTTTTGTTTTGCATCTTTCATATGAATTTCATGTTGTTCTAATTTTACATATAACATTTGGCACACTAAATGTAAATGACATTCTGTATTGTTCTTTAGTCAAAGTACCATGTGAAAGTGGTTGCATATTATGACAATCTAAACACCACAAGGATAGACCAGCCAGCTAAAACAAAACTTCCGCTTAACCGATTCAGTATTCTAAAAAGAATTTACTTTAAATTTTCCTACAGTGTTAACAAGGCTCTTCCATATTAAACTCACAACAAAGTACAAGATTAAGGAATGATTTCACGGGAAAAACGAAAAACTCATTCTGAATCGACAAAAGCTGGTGGGATCAATTCTCAAAACGGCAATGCAAAATGCAACATATCTATTGCAAGTCCAAACCAATCGTAATGGCTCCATTAGCACAAGTCCAAATCTATATGCTGCTACCTAATCATCATTCTGGCTCTCATCTTTGACAAGCCTTATCATGTCATCGATTCTCAGAATAGTAATAGCTGCTTCCGTAGCAAACTGGTACGAAATTACATAGTATTAGAAAGAACATAACCTAAAACTCAGAAGATCAGCATTCTAGTGCAGATTTACCTGTATTATTTTTACTTTGCTCATTGCAGGCTCAATCACTCCAGCTTCCAAGTTATTTCGCACAGTGCCCTTCGCTAGATCCAGTCCCATGCTGTATAAAGCAACAAAACCAGATTATAAAAGCTCGTGGGAAGGATTGGCAGATACATCATTTAATAGCATTCATTAGATTCAGCAGTGTTCAACATCCATCTAAAAGAGAAGCACGATCTGTAGACCCCAAACAAAGTTATAAAAAGCAAAAGGCATAAGCGAGACATTTTGCGGCCTTATTTGTTTCCTTCTTTTCGTCGTCTTGTTTTTCATCTACTAATATAAAATTCAAAGAATGAACAACATCCCAATCCCCTTGCACCTTCTGTCTAAGGAACACGCAGTTATGTGCTTCTCCAATATACCCTCATTTTACATCGCTCCTTTGCTTCCCAAAAGATCAACAACCTCTCAATCACTCTGCACTCACAGTCTACATCACGACCCAAACTTGAGAATAAGAAAGCGACGACCCAAAAAAAAGTGTACATTACGCTAAAATGACAAGAGGCCTTATTTGTTTCCTTCTTTTTGTCGTCTTGTTTTTCATCTACTAATATAAAATTCAAAGAATGAACAACTTCCCAATCCCCCTGCACCTTCTGTCTAAGGAACACGCAGTTATGTGCTTCTCCAATATACCCTCGTTTTACAATCCTCCGTTGCTTCCCAAAAGATCAACAACCTCTCAATCACTCTGCACTCAGAGTCTACACAGCACGTGCTTCTCCAACACACCAACGTTTTGCATCACTATGTCGCTGTAATAAGCGATAAAGCAATGGCTTCAACAACACTGCTGAAACCAACAACACTGCTGAAACCAACAACACACTCTTTTTTAGTTTCCTGTTCTTTCAGCAATTTTCTCTATCTGATCGAAAGGTCCTCGACACATGCATAATGCAGCCAGAGGCACGCCTTGTGGGGGTAAATAATACACCTCATAGAAGCTGTTCCTCTTCCGAATCTACTCAAGGCAATCATCCATCTGTTCGCTCAAGGAACTCCTCGCGGATGTTAAGAATTGTATCACAAGGATCTCCAAACAAACCCAACAACCAGATTCTTATATGAAACTAAAAACTTGAAATGCTAGTAACATGAAAAGCATACTTGAAAAGCAGTGCATCAACTTGTTGAAGCCTTGACCAAACAACACAAAGATATACAGATTCCAAAGAATACCTTGATAGATGCTTCTTATCAGCTTTGGTTTGTGCAAGGTAGTGACATGAACGTAGTTTAGATACCAAGTCACTGGAATCTTTTGCAGCATTATTTGCAAGAACCTGCACCAGAAGAAATTCACCAAATCTTGATCATAGAACATACAAGTGGTACAAGGGCATCGGCCATTTTTGTTATATACAACTAGCAAGGACCTTAGGTATGACAAGTAAGGATTCAGCAAATTGTGCAATAGCCAGCTGCTCCCTTGACCCAAGGGTAGTAGCTAGGTAC